GCTCAAATATATTCAAATCCAATTACCAAAGAGCTTTTCATAATTGATATCCAGGTTACCATCTTGGCATCCCAGAATATCCAAAGCCCTAGTGTTGGGGACATACTTCATCATTGCCATTCTCTGCGCAATTTCCCTTAGAATGAGCCTGATTCTGTCAAAGATGGTTTTCAGGATATCCAAGAGCTTTTCTATGATGGGTTTGACTAATTTTCCAATAGTGGAATCAGCCCCCAATAATTGCAGCAGGGCATCAACTGGATCACCAGCACCAACAGCATCAAAGACATCATTGACTGATCCAGCAACCACATCTGTTGAACCTTCCAGAAGTCCTCCAAGCAATGGCACCTGGCCCAGAACATCCCCAAGACTGCCCAAAGCTGTATTCACAATTACTGCTGGGTTGCCAACCAGAGGCAGATTTGACAACGCATCTGCAATTTCAGCAGATTTGATACCGTTGAAGTTTTTCATTTATTGTTGCACATATTTGAAAAGACTTTACCTTTCAATGGTGCTGTGATTTGCTTGATGGTGTCTGTGAGCACAGTTGTTATAGGTCCTCCAAGGTTAACCAAGGGTTCAAATACTGATGGAGAGATGAACCAGCACTCATAAATAAATATTCAAATACCTGATCATACTCACAAATATGCTACTTTCAAATTAAAAATAAATGGCATGCATGAGATACACTTTCCTGCATTTTATTTCATTGGAAGAACCAAGATGAGCCCACATTATAAATCAAATTGAAAAATGAGTCAAATGGTTAGCATGCTTATAGCAGCAAAGATAGAACACTCACATCCTCTTTTGTCTCTCAGCAAAAATCCACCAGCACCATTGTTTTCCATTTTCTACCAAGAGGTATTTTGGAGTGCATATACAGTATAAAATACACATTTTTAAAGCTTATTTGGGAGATTCAATTAACACACATACCTGGACAAACTTATTATCATTTGCACATTCTACAGCAGCTTTTATCAAAGCAAGGGCAAGTATGTCAGCTTCAGCTTCCATGACAAGAGCTTCATCATCAAGCTCTTTGACTGTAGCATTGATTATGTCTCTGTCAGCAAATTTCTCAATGCCATGACTGATGACTTCAGCAGTGACCATGTCATCATCATATTCACTGCTCCTCTTCCTTCTACCCTTGATTGGGCTGGTGATCAGGTTGACAAATTCTTGGAGTGAATCTGGCAAGCTATTGATTACTTGAAGAGGTATCAATATATGTATTTTGAATTAGAATGNATCATTTGCACATTCTACAGCAGCTTTTATCAAAGCAAGGGCAAGTATGTCAGCTTCAGCTTCCATGACAAGAGCTTCATCATCAAGCTCTTTGACTGTAGCATTGATTATGTCTCTGTCAGCAAATTTCTCAATGCCATGACTGATGACTTCAGCAGTGACCATGTCATCATCATATTCACTGCTCCTCTTCCTTCTACCCTTGATTGGGCTGGTGATCAGGTTGACAAATTCTTGGAGTGAATCTGGCAAGCTATTGATTACTTGAAGAGGTATCAATATATGTATTTTGAATTAGAATGATATAATTGCAATATATATGTCATATTTTCTCTCACTGGCATCAAATGAAAGGCTTTGCAGAATGTCTGTACACCTGGGATCCTTCCCAGTGTTGGCAACACAGTTTGGTGGTGCTGTCAGCAGAAAAAAATGCAAGTCTTGCTTTAATTAGTCAAAGGATTTCCATACTGGGGTCATAATTGCTGGTTGATTGTTCATGGAAGTAATGATAAAGTAAACATGTACAGTCAACATTCCCCACACAATGGACCTCCTGCACAACAGATTTTTGCACAACAGACCACCTCTGCTGGGGGCAGTTTTCCCTTCAATGCAATATGGAGTAAAACTGCATAACAGACTTCTGTTGGTTCAAAATGTGTGGTAAAAAGTAAACATTTAAATTTTAAATACAATTTTGCAATTAAATGTGCATATATGAGACTTTTCAAACAACAGAGTAATCTTCTGCACAAATTAAGTCCATTGTGTGGGGGTTGACTGTATATAATCATTTAATGGTAACATGAAATGCTTTATAAAAATATTAATATTTGATAACCATGTTCAAATCCACAAGTTTGCATCCATTGTTAATGATGATATAGTTCAATGTGTGATGTTGCCAACTACTGTATACAAGAGTAGGGATAAAAGTCAGGTTTGATATATACTGTACAGATAATCTCGAGCAAATTACGCTATTCTTCAAATCTTCTTTTTTTGCATTGATCCAGAAAACTCATGTGTCTCAAAATGTGTATGACACAGAAAATGTATTTTATTGGCAAACTGATGAAGAATCCATTTAGCTTAACTTGCAAGGAAAGATGTCTTTTCCATGGAATTTCTTGGCAGTTTACATACCAACATTTATAAAAAGTAATTCCTTCAAGCCATTATCAGGTTTTCTTGGTTTAGAGCAGCATGTGCATATAGTCATATACATTTTTGATTGCATATAGATTTTAGGGCTTGGAATGATCAATTCCCTGACTGCTGCCAGGTGATGACAAAAGTGCCTCACCAATTTCATCACATGGATTGTATGAATGGAATGTCTTCTTTTTTGTTGGGTAATCTTTGGCAGAACCATTCAAGAAGGGATCCCAGAACTTTTCCACAGCCTCTGGGGACCAATAATCAATAGCTGTGGCTGCAGCAGGAGATTTGAATCTCTTGTAACCATCTTCACACAGTGCTGAGTAGTCATCAACCAATTGACCTGTGAAGGCTGCAAAATATATTTGAAATAAATCTACTCAGTCTTCTATATAATTAAATTGTTTTATAGTCTTACAGTCATTCTTCTTCCGAATGGCAGCTCCATACTTCTCTTCAACTTTCAGCAGTTTGTCCAGCACAGGATCAGAGACATACTTTATCTTATTGGCACTCAGCACATTCACATTGCAGACAGTAACAGCTGGAAAAACTGCCTTCTTCTCTTCAATAATCTGGAAAACATGGTTGAACCTGAGTATTTTTTATATAATTTTGTTGATGTAAAGACTTACAGTTATCTGTACAGTTTTTGGATATCCATAGTATGCATTCAACATGCTCATGCTTTGTGTTGCCATAAAGTAGGCAAATAAGCAAATGATGCCAACCCAAGCAACTTTCCTGAGCACAGAAACTCTGAAGAACAAGTGTGGGATTCCATTTCCAGAATAGTGTTCTCCAAAGTATTCTCTGGTCATTTCACTCCATGACATCCTCGCTATTCTTTCCATGATGATGATGATGAGCTATGCCACTTGAGGAATACCTAAACTGAAAAATGAAATGTTTGCTGGATATGAAAAAGTTCAAAATGTTCCAATCAGAAACTGTGAATTGAACACCATGCATTTATTCCCCTCTGGCTCCAATTTGAGGAAATATACTGTAGGCAAAATGCTGCCATGGAGTGAGTTTTCTAGACAAAAATAATCTGCATCTCCATCCAGGTGTATATACAATATTATTCCCATGAGAGGCATTGAAAAATTCTGAAACTGGGGCAAGATTCAGGCAAAGGCTCCCAAGAGAAATGAACAGAACGTTTTATATTCCTCAAGGGAGTTATTGCCATGAAGCAATAAACAGGTTGATATCTGAATATGTTTAGTGCTGTGTGTATGGTAGCCATGATGAAAAATTTTGATTCTGATGACCCAAACATTTAATAAAATTCACAACTGCTTTCATTGAATGGATGTCATTGTTACATATGGCTCATGCAAGGGTTTTAGGATTTCCAATACAGTAAATGAGCACAATACAAATTTCCTGATTGTTACCAGAAGTTTCCAGGCACCATGAAATTGATACACAGCTATAGCAAAATTTATTCTGGGATGAGATCATTATAAAATAAATTGGGAATTAAATAATTATTAAGCAGGAAGTTATTGTAATTCAATATTGCTCCCTTTACAGAATGAGAAGAAATTGGGAAAGATTTTTGCTAATTTTAGTGCAAGGACCAGGAAAACCAGTGAAAACTGGATTTTTTGTCAACTTTTATTGACTTCTGAGTTTTAAAACATGACTTTCTTATTTGAATTCTAAAATACAAATATTTAATCTCTTCTCTATTCCTGCCAAAAATCCTTGGTTAGCCTAAAAAAAGGTTTCATAATTCACTATACAGGTATAACAGAATTTCCAAGTTTGTTATAAGAAGATTTTTTAACATGTAGTCTATAGGATTTCTGCCAGGACTTGAGAAAAAGTTTGTTGTATCAAAAAATTTGTTGTAACAGTATTTGTTGTAACAAGATTTTACTGTACATACATATATGTGCTAAAATTTCAGAAGTTTCAGTTCTCAATTTCAGAAATTCACAAACTGGTGGTGCTATAGAGGTAAGGCAAATATTTATTTACAAATTTTAGATTTTTTCCTTGGATAACAATTTCAAAAGCTAAAACTCTAAACATGCTTGTACAGTATACTTCTGCATTTCTTTTAAATCTGGAAGAATTATGAGCTTGTTTATGGAGCAAACTTTAAAAAAACAAATTTTTGGCTATGGAAATTTGAAATATGAGTAATTTTTATTATAAAGTTTAGCTAAAAAATTTCCTCAAACAAACAACTCAAAATTAGGCCAGCATTAAAAAAAATATTTTTTTGCAGATTGAGAAGCAGATGATCAACAATAATTGAACTCTTTTTAAAAGTGCTGCTGATGAGGGGGATAGTGATTTTCTTAAAGTAATCCTCATCATGACTCACACAAAATAGAGTACAGTATAGTTTAATATACAGTACTGTATATATATACAGTATCCCAAGAGACAAAGAGGAAAAATAGGCTCCATATTCGGTCATGGGTGTAATAAATGTTCAAGGGGGCTCGCCAAAAAAATACTTTACAGTAGTATTCTCATTTCTCATATCTCCTGCTTGCATAATGTGCATACACTTGGTCAACATATATACAGAACCTCACTACTCATCCAGCCTCGGCGTCACCAACATCAAGCCCCTTTTTTCTCTTCCATCATTTTTATTTTCTGGCTCATATATTACAATATAACCCATCAAAGTGTAAAAAAAAATAATCAAGAGCAGGGAAGAATAACACGTGATAGAAAATTCAGAAGTGCAGGATATATAAAAATGTCGGTCCAAGTGGCGGTCGTCGGTGGCGGCATTATAGGAGTGTCGTCAGCCTATAGGATCCTTAGGGAAGTGCCTGGGGTCAGTGTTACCATTTTTGCGGAGAAAGCGTCCCCTGAGACTACTGGTGATGGCGCTGCGGGTCTCTGGGGTCCATTCCTAGATGGCGGCACGCCTGCACACAAAGTCAAGTAAGTATACTGTACTACAGTATATGTACTATATATAACAACAGCAGCTTAATTTACAGAAGGCGCAGAAACTTTCCAGATGATTCCATATATGTGATATACTGTAAATACATAAATAAGCAAAACATTACATTAAATAAGCAAAAAGGGACACAGTTCTGGTGGTGTTGCAACATATGTTAAAGAAATTAATGGGTGTACCTCACAAAGAATTTCAATTCACTCAAATATTCTTTGGGTAATGTTTTCTCATTTACTAGGTGAAACTTTTGTGATAGGTAATATATATACAGGCGACCAGGTTTAGCAAATGGATTAGATCAAAAATTAGGATGGGTGGGTGTATGCGTACCTGCTGTCAGATGTCAAGTTTTATTTTGTGGAGTGTGTTCTCTCTTTTGTTTTTGTCATTGGTTTGTCCTTTGTTTCATGCTTTGAAGTGATTCAATGTCTTTGGGGGAAGTTGGGTTGGGTGGGGAGGGGGTTTGGATGTGGGAGTCTTGGTTGTGCCTTGTGAACGCTGAGAAGCGGCAAATAAAGTGTTCTGTTCATTCATTCATATATACATACATTACTAGAAGCAAGGCACAGTACAAAAAAACTATGATGCAAATTGTTCTACCTTATTTCAACCAAGCCATTATTGATGGAACCTGATGATGGTTTCATTAAAATCAATTCATTGCACCAAAATTCAATTAAAATTGTGGTCACAGAGCTGGGCAAAGACCTTGGCCAAGAATGTTAACTTTAAACAACAGTTTTGTGTGATATAGATCAATTATCACAAAATATATTTAAAGAAAATTTGCTTTAACTTTGTAACTTGATGTGTTTTAACAAGCTCACTTTGAAGAAGTTTTTGTAACACATTGTGTTCTAAGAAGATTTATACTTTGAGCAAGATTTGTGGCAATGTTGTAAGAATATTTAGTTTGAGCAAACTTTGTTGTAAGAAGTTTTACTTCAAGAAGATACATTTGTTGTAAATCAATGCATTGTATAGAAGCATTTCGTTTTAGCAAAAATTGGTGGTACAGTACAAGATTTGTTTTACAGGTAAAAAGAAATGCTGTCAAAAGATTCATTTTACAGGATGAAACAAAGTTTTACTATATGCATTAAATTCACTTATTGTGTATGGGCTCCAAATTTAGTGTTTAAAGTATAGATTGAATATAACAACTTTTTCATTTAGTTTCTTTGAATTCTTATGTTGTTCATGAAGGATGCCATACTATTTTAAATCCTTAAGTAAAGTAAGTCCTTATAAAATATAAGATAAATGAAGCTTAAATGAGAGAATGTCACATTTGATGGTGATGATCAGTTTTTCCAATAATGCAGTGCATGGAGCAAAGCCACTCATGACCTGTTCCAGCATTATTGGCTCAAGGGAGAAGCAACAAGTGTTGGTGTCTGCCTGGTTGGAGTCCAGAGATTGGCAGATGAAGATGAACCAGATCCCTCATGGAAGGATGTTGTTTATGGATTCCGCCATTATTCAAGCCAAGAAGCAGCACAACTTGCTGGGAATAATGAGACTGTGAAGTAAACAACTATTTTACATTTCCTTTAAAGTTTCATCTCTGCAACTTGAATACATGACCCCTGATGCACAACAACCCCTGCACAATGGATGTTTGCACCTCTGAAGGCAGTTTTCCTCCTTCACAATACACTAAATCTGCCTGACAGACTTCTGTTGGATCAAATCAATGGTAAAATTTATACATTTAAAATTTTTAATAACTGAATTTGCATAACAGACTTTTCACACAGCAGGCTATAGTCTGTTGCACATATTAATTCCATTGTGCAGGGGTTGACTGTAATTGTATTATGGGACTTTCAAAAAACATAAGAATATGAAAACCAAAACTGACTTATTCATTCCACTGCTGAAGGAATCCTGAAAATTTTGAGGGAAAATTTACTATTTACTATTTACTAATTTACTACCCTAAAAATTTACTATTCATAATGAATAGTAAGCCTACATCAAGATTTGCAATGCTCAAGTGAGCTTTGTAATTTTCACGCTGAATTTCATTCTTTCTCCCACAAACTGCAGGGGGAAATATAATGTAAGCTGAAAACTTTTGTATTTTTTTATGGAAAGTGCAGTGCATGATGTTCCATCAGTGGTAAACAGAATAGCCAACTTTCAAAATCAAGTTTTAGAATAGTGTTGAATGAGCAGGTCATGCTGTGCCCATATTTTCAATTTGGAAATGTAATAGCCCTTCTATTAATTCACTCAGATTTTTCATCAATATTGCATCCTTGACTTATTGGGCAACTTATTATTCCCTCAACAAAAATATAGAAAAATTTGGAAAGACTGCGTATTCATCAACTGAGGAAAAACTGTTGAGATGAGAAAATTGTGATCATTTTGACATGGTTTCCAAATCTGAAATCATGTGTCATTGAAATAATTTTTTGCTTGCGGAAATATTTGACAAAACATATTTTTGAAACTTCTCACATAACAGTGAAAGTGTCGACACAATTTCAAGGATGAATTAGATTTGTATTACAATATAAGCGAAAATTGTTGTACTGTATATCATCGTTGGTTCGAATATTACGTTACTCCTCCTGCGGTGCTGGGTCCACCCGTCGCCTGGGATTTTTGTTTATATCACGTAGGTGTCGCTCTCATCCTCTGCCGCTCTGCTTTTGGTGTATGTACTCCGGTGTGCAGAAATAATGCGTCGTTACTCTAGTCTTTTGATACTGTTGCGACAGGTTTTCTCCCACAATAATAATAAATTGAACTGCATGATCAAGAAGTTGAGGATGCACAGGCAACACATATCTGAAGAAGCCGACACATCGAGGGATCTTCGAAGAAAATAATATGTGCCCGTTTTTGCGCTTCTTTTTTTCTCATCATCCCCGCTGTTCTATTATACGATCAATGACCCATTGTATTTAATTCTTTTGTTTTATTTAAAGACACGGGTGGGAATACGTGACTTACACCTGCGAATGCAAGAAGATGATTCCGCACTTGCTGGAGAAATTCCAGGAACTTGGAGGCGAATTCGTGAAGGCCAAAGTGACTGACTTGAAATTACTGGGACAACGTTTCGACCTGATTGTCAATTGCTCTGGTCTCGGGGCAAAGGATCTTGTGGGAGATCAAACTGTGCGTCCGAAAAGAGGCCAATTGATCAGGGTGAGGAAATGTTATACTCCTGAATTGATTGCTTGTTTGTAAAATCCATATGCAGTTCTAGTATGGAATAGTATGGCATTGCAAGGTCCATTTGGCATTATACAAATGTAAGATGAATAAAATAGAGTTTGGATAAAGAGCTCAAAAATATATCTATGTATCTATATATACAGGTGGTACCTTGCAATTTGACCAACCCACAATTTGACAGTCAAATTTGCCGGGAGTTTGACTTGCAATTTGACCCTTGCCCTGCAATTTGACATGCTTTTTTCCATTTTTGTTTCCAAAATTTTGTACTGTACTTATATTTTTGAATTTCACAGAGTGTCTTGAAATTTGATCAATTTTCAATTAGACCCTACTTTGACAATGGATTAGGGTCAAATTGTGAGGTACTATGCCTGTATACAAAACAGTTTATTCTTCATCAAATGACAAAGGGGTGAACTAATTTTAAAATGTGGCCATCCAGCTGGAAAATTACTATAAAATCAATAAGCTTGTTTCATTACAATAAGTGGAGTATTAATGTGGAATTTTTTGCTTTAATATTATAATGGTAGGTGAGTGAAAATTGAGTTGCAGTGAAATTATTGTGGATTTGAGCCCAGTGTAGTGCATAAAAGACACAGCTGTTTTTCATATCATACATTGTTGTAAACACTTTTATTCTGATATATGAGCAAGGAAAGTTTGTCCCTTATTCTTCCTTTTTTTGCCAATGCAAAATCTATGGAAACTGTAAAGTAAGGACTTTTTCATGCATGTACAGTTACTTTACAATTATTGAGGGAAAAATGCTCATACATCATAATCTCATATGTACTGTACATGCAGACATGGCATGTAAGTTAATATAGTACTACAAGAATTAGCATTTCTTCTCCAAATCAAAATTAAACTTTCAATCAACATCCATAGTTTTTGAACTACAGTATGTACATGGTCATATATTCATAAAACAATAATTTAAAATTATTTGTGATGCTCTGTGTACAACTAATACAAATCATATTTTCAACATAATCTTTACATGATGCTCTTCACGTACTATGAAGAGATAATTTTGTGTTCTTGAAAGGTTAAAGCTCCCTGGCAGAAGATGGCATTCATGATGGAAGTCTCAAGTGGTGCTGATGATAGGATGCCATATTGCATCCCAAAGTGAGTCCAACACTCAAACAACTTTCTGAAAATTCAAATTAAGGTTGTTTGAGGTCAATTGTACAAGAATTCTGAATAAGCAGGGAATCCTCTGAGCAAATACAATGAGTGAAAAAAGCTTTTTTGCAATGAGTATTTTTATTATTGTAAAATTTTAGTGCTGTAATTTGGTTTATACTCTGAAATTTGCATTGTTTGCATTTCTACTGATTGATTTCTTTCTTTTTATGGCAGTCATTACTAATTTCATGAATACAATATGAGAATATTTCCAATCAACTACATTATATAAACCTATAAGTTCAGCACCCCCACCCATGCAACAAATTTCCTGGTTAAAAACTGTTGCTCTTCAAAAAGTCTCACAGCTTTCCATCCCAGTTGTGATTTCAATTTTAAAATGTCATTGTTAGCTTCTGGTGAGCTTTTTAGAGAGAAATCAAGGCAGTTCAATCAGCTGTTATAGAGATCATCCAATATTTGACAATTTCAATGGCCTTTTGGGTGTGAGATACCAATGAATTTCTTTACAGCACTGACGTATTTAGGAAACTTTGATTTGATCAATTAATTTTTCCTGAGAACCAATGGAAATCAATAAAGAATGATTGAGTGTATAAACAAAAACTTTTAGGTCCCCTTACAAAGTGTCTGTGTTGGTTCAATATGTTAAACAATTTGAATTTTCAGAATAAAATGAAATCTGCTGATGCCATAAAAGTAATTTTTGAGTTTTTTTTACTGAGCAGTCTTCCTGGTTCCTGCTAGTGTTGGATGCTTTCAATCTGCTCTGAAGGTTATTTCCTGATAGTCTTCAATAATATTCATTCACTCTTTTATATTTTTTCAAATGTCCACACACTTTGTCATCAAGCACACATGTGGTTGGTCTTGGAGGAACCTATCAAGTTGACAACTGGAACACCAGTCCATCCTCAGAAGACAAGAAGTACATAAAGGAATCTTTGCCGCCATATCTTCCTAGTATGCTGGTAAGTTACAATATTATATACTCAAGTGGACTTCATACAATGTGCCCATACCTTAAAAAATGATCAATTATTCATTATTCAGTTATTCAAGCATGAGTTTCTCCTCCAAAATTACTCCAAACCATGTGTGACTTGAAAAAGTGATTGACAAATATGCATCTCCCAAAAATATATGATGTACAGTACTTATTTACTGCAGCATTCCACAATGTGGACTGATTTGTGACATGCTGGCAGTTCAACAATGAAACACAGATATTCAAGGAGCAACTTTTCATCATTATTAATTCTTGGGTGAAGCAATAAGTACCCGAGTGGGGAGCTATTTTTGCTGTGACCCCACAGTAGGTGCACACCAGGGTCACAACTGTTGCATATGGGATATTCTGGGGTTATAAGTGTGCACTTCTGTAGAGGAAATTTTGCTACCATTCCAGGGTTACACTTGGTGCACAAATGTGAAATAACAGGAGCATCACACAAATCCACCAACAAACTTTGGTACACTTCAGGTGCACAGCAGGGTCACTGTGTAGAATTACAAACAAATCCTCCCTGTGCACCAATTTCCCCACTTGGGTAAAGAATAAGTAGCATCTTGTTTAAAAAAAAAAACGTTGAGGACTAAAAACTTGAAAAATGAAACATTTGTTGAATTAAGCTTTGGAAAAGCTTTTGGATATGCTACAAGAAACTTGAAAATTTATGCTTTGACTGATCAATATTTTTTCAATGAGATTTGTTGTAAAAAAAAAATGTTCACCCTACATATATTTCTTGATGTCATGGTTGTGGAAAAAATTACTTATTCCTCAGTATCCTCATCATAACAGTATACTCAAAAAGACTCCTCAGACATTAATGTATGCAAGGAACCACTGTCTGGAATAATAAGTTCTATTCTTTCATGAGGCACATCTGTGTATAATGATACAGAAGATTACTGATTTGTCAAATTCTGAATGCATTATTCAAGAATGCGGAAGAGATGGAAGATTGGGTTGGCTTGAGACCAGCAAGAGATGGAGGTGTTCGCCTGGAAAAGGACAAAATCCTTGTAAATGGGAAAATAATACCTGTGAGTATAGGTATCTTTTTTGTTTTGTGTTTATATTCTACCATCGCATATGCAGCTGCAGCAGCACACACTAACTTTTGAATAATATTCAAGATATAAAAATGATCTCTTAACATACTCAATTCATTCCAATAAAGATCATGAAACAATATTCAAAAAGTCTGCTAACCAAGTAATGCAAGGTTAAGTGGAATCTGTATACATTCCTTTATTTCTCAATACCTCAATAGGTACGTTATTTATTTTGCAAACATTTACTCCATTTTTTGCATAGATTTTTGATTACTTTCACGTTTCAGTAATTAAAATAACTTTATGAATAGCTTACATGGCATATGATGTTATGCCACAATAAAGCTTGAATTATTCTTTCAAAAAGAAATACAGTCAACCCCCGTCTAACGGACTTGATTCGTGCAAGGGACAAGTCTGTTAGACAAAAAGTCCTTTACATGAATTTAATTACATAAAAAATTACAAATTTCAATTTTCAACGCTAATTTTAAACCAAAAGAAGTCTGTTTGGCGGATTTTGTCTGTTGTGCGGGAGGAAAAACTGCTTGCAGAGCTGGTCTGTTTGGCGAAAATCTCTTACACAGGAGGTCTGTTAGGCGGGGGGCCACTGTACTGCTGTCCAGGTGGTATCTCGCAATTTGACCATAATCCATGGCCAAACTAGGATCAAATTGCAAAGCAGTTGAATTGCAAGTCACTTTGTGAAATTCAAAAATCTCAGTACAAAAAGGCCAAAAAGTGGCCAAAGTACTGTACATTGAATTGCGGGGCAAGGGTCAAATTACAAGTCAAACTCCCTGCAAATTTGACCATTGTATTGTGGGACATTTGAATTTCAGGAGGACAAATTGCAAATTACTGCAAAATTACATGCCATATGTTTGAATGTGCAGTACATTTGAGATTATGATGTATGAGCACAATATACCAAATTTGTTCCAACCAGTACTTTTGTTATGCATGCATTTGATGCTTAATACATTTTTTTTCAAACACATGTATGAAGAAAAATAAATTCAAAGTTTAAAAAATAATGTATGTGAAAAATGTGTATGTATTATTCATTGCTTTTAACACTAATTCCTAAAATCCACCTCCATTGCACATATTCAGTTATAGGATTTGATTATGAAAAATTAACAAACAAAAAACAATCATTTACTGGTTTTCATTAATGCAGAGAACAGTTTATTTTTCTATGCAAAAATTCATCCCCAATAAATTTTAGGCCTCTATCCTCTATAGTAGTTTTACCCCTGAAAAGACTGTGCAAAATCAGGATGTGGTCTCTCTATATACAGTTGTATACAGTATATAATATGGTAACAAGACATTGAAACAAATTTTGAAAAAAGTAAAATTCAATAAACATATTGTGGTTAATTCATGAATGGATGTTTCCACAGGTGATCCACAACTATGGTCACTCAGGATCCGGAATAACATACTTCTGGGGGTGTGCAGAGGAAGTGAAACATCTGGTGGATGAAATCCTGCTGGAAAATAACATTTCCAAGTCTTCAAAGCTTTGATGAATTTCTTCTCAAAGCCTCAAAATCTTCATGCATGAATTGTAGTGATGAAATTGACTTTGTTCCTCAAAAGATATTTTCAATAAAAAAAAATTTGAAAAAATACATTGCATTTTTTACCAAGTAGGATATATTTTTATTACAACATAGCTCTCATATTGTGGAAAACAGTGTCATAACAGTGAGATTCAAGTAAAATTGTAGCTATATTACACACTCATGTGTCAATAAAGAATACATTGTTCCAGGTTCCCCCATCACAAACTACATGAGAGGAAAATAATTATGAACATGCATGGCCAGAACAAAACTATGCTTAAACTTAGCCATGCAAGTCATCACAGTATTTTTGGCAAAGGGAAGCAAATAAGCAAAAGAATGTTTATCAGCCTCATGTTTTAGCAAATTTACATTAAGTATACAGTATATACCAGATATCATGTCTCAGTTTCTAGAAGGTTGAAAAGATGATTAAAAAATTGTTGAAAATGTTGGGACTCATTATTGATGATTTCTATATTTTTATTACTTCAATCAAAGAGAATATGTCATTGAGCATTCAAACATTGAAGCAAATCCACCCCAATAGGATATTCATCCCATATATGACTCCAATTATTTCTCTATATAGGATAAACTATGAAGGTGAACCTTGGAAGGAAAGTCAATAACTTAATGCTATGAAAATGATTTATAATAATTCCTCTTCAAGATTCAAAATAACAAATGGATTTTCTGAGTTTACCCCCGCCCCCCCCCCTTGGCTTTCATAAAATTTATCAAACTCTCTTCTGGGTTTTGCTTCCAGTACATGTTTTTGTTTGAAAGGAAGATTTTAATAAATATTCATCACAGTGCTGAGCAGAGGCGTAAAAGAGTTTTACACCGGAAGAAAAAAAAATATGACTTCAATGTCAGGGGCTAATGAGCCTCAGTGACAAAGATTAATGTTTTGGTTCAGTTGAATCGAATTATGAAATGATGTAGTCTCAATCGGCCGTTTGCGGCCTGAGGTAAATACCTCAACTCCTATGGTGTGGTTAGGTTTCCAAGGAATCTTGTTTTTCTTAAAGATAAAAATGATAAAATAATAATTTATTAATACTTACTCCTTTTTCAGGAATACTTTTTCCGAGTTACGAGGACAACGCAGCGTTTCGTACGCCACGTCGTACTCTCGGTACTCTCGTACATTCTGTTGTTGTGCCAACTCGGGCGGCACCTGGTTTTCCCAAGTTAATCAGGGCATGCGCGGGCGACATCTAGTCGACCTGTGACATTCAATTTGAATTTCTGATTTAATTGTATTCCTTTGAATTCCATCTTTGCGGCCATTTTGAGAAATGCTCTTCTCCAAAATCTGCTGGGAAACTGAGTAATTTTGCATGATATTTTTGGATACCCTGAAAAAAAAAATCTGTATTTGAGGAACATGATCTGATTTCACAAAATTGTTTTAAAATAATCAAATCATCAAAATTTTATAATACTTTGTGAAGAATCCCTATAGACTTTTAAAATAAAAATAATGAAACCCTTTGGTGGTAAATGCTGAAAAATAAACGAACCAATACATTTTCCACATATATTTTTGGGAAAGTGGCGCTTGGATTACAATTCATCCAGAAAACGCAACTGCTGCAGTTTAATGTCTCGCTTGATGAACCATCAATAAGTTGATATACAACTGCTCAAATTCATCATCCGCTGCTTCACAGATTTTTCCGCTGTTGGGAACACACAACTTTCTTCAATAATCTCATCATCATTCAAGTGATAAATAAAGTATAAGCGATTACAATAAGGAGGAAAAAAACGAACTTTCACGCCCAAACGAGCAAATTTGACGTCTTGTCGAGATGATTTGAAGCATGAAACCCAGTGGAGTGTTTAATAACCCAAAGAACCGCGTCTTGGGTATAAAAATCGAAAGACTCCTTTCGGGTTTGATTCAGTTTAGATTTGTGCTATTACATTCTTATACTTCAATATTCAGAAGAAGAAGAAGAAGAAAAATCCTTGATTTTTTTGCTGTTACATTTTTGACAAAAATAATGCAGGTGAGGAATTTATTATATTGTTTAGCAGTGCTGAGATTTTTGATAGCATCATATATTTGTTTCCAGTTGAGCAGAATTTTGGCTGGAAGTTGGGCTGTTTTTATTTTGCTTGAGCTGTTCTTCATTTGTGATGGAGATGCAAACCCAATACCTGGACCCCTGCCAAAGCCTGGAGACAAAGCCAAGTAAGTGATGGATCATTAAACCATTTTTTACAAATATTTCAAGTACAGAAGTGTAAAAACTTATTCATGTACTGCTGTATCTTCAAATAAGAAGCAATGGTGAAAGTTTTTTTTTAGATCAAATTATACTTTTAAATTTGGCAGTGGAGGTGAACAAAGCTTCTGCATCATACAAAGCATTGCTGAATCAAAATAAGACTTTTAAAGGGTCTTTTTGTCTGTTTCCTTAGGATATTTATTCAATATTAAAATTCCTCAACTATATACACTACTTATTGCTGCCCATAAATAGACCTTTTGGCAACCTTGTCTCACTCAGCATCCCCAAAAATTTCACAGGATCATGAAAAAACAGGATCATGAAGAAAAATTCATACATTTAAGCATATATTACCCAATACATCTGCTAGGAAATTTAGGTTTTTTTATGTTGATAATAAGATTGTTGGAAACTTCATGAAGCAATCAAATGACATTTAAAAATCCCTTATTCCTTTGACTGATGAGATGAACTTATAAAAAGTGATGGTTTTCTGTCCATTCAATTTTGGCTCAGCATCAAGGATTGGAAAAATATTCTGGAAATAATAATAAGTGCTTTACTCCTCCATAAGCATTACAAAAATTAAACAAGGAAAGATGAACAGGACTATGATAAAACTGTGATCTAAACTGAAAAACTTTGAAAAATTCTCATTTGGTGATTTCACACCTTTATTGACACTCATAATCTATAAATACAGGTACCATTACCACAAACACAAGCACTACCACAAACATGTTCACAAGCACAAGCATGGACATAAGCACAAGAAAGGAGGGAAAAGCTCTTCATCATCATCAGGGTGAGTCTGTTTTAATTTCTGATGAACATAAATTAAAGTGAGAATATAATGAACCTTAATCCTATAATATTATTGAGCAGATACAGAAGAAGACAAGGATTGGAAGAAAACCCTGCAGGTGGAAGTAACAGGAACCTGCTTCCAGCATCAGTTGCCTTGCCCTACTATGGTCTGAATCCAACTGCAAGGGCAGTACTGTTGAGTACCTATTTGGCCCAGGCTGGAAACCGAGATTTATTCCTCCAGAATAACTACAAATGAACAAATGACACAAAGAATCTTTACAATGATGTTTAAGTTCTGTATGTGACTGTGATTGAATTTGTTTGTGTTTGCCAAAATAACATGTATTTCCTCTCACTATATCTGAAAAAAATTCCCACCACAAGGTGGCAGCAGAGAGAGAGGGGAAAACTCCTGATCATTCCTTTCACCAGCAGTAAATTTTGACATTGACAAGTCTGGTTGAAAGTACATTTATATTTATTCAAGAATATTGTTTTAGAATGTGAGGACCTTTGAATGTATACTTACAGTGTAGCATATGCATTTTGAATGAGGAAATACACTGAAATGTCATTTTTATCTGTCTGTGTCTGTATTTTTTCTTATTGATTCAACTTTACTAGAAGAAATTTAAATGGCCTTTTTTCTTATATTGAATTTTTGAGAGGAAGCAGCATCATAAAAAGCACAAATGGATGTCAAAGAAAGTTTAGTTTTAGTTCACTTGATTCTTTCTAAAACAGCTGTACAGTGAGACCCCCAGATGCAAACGTAATTGGTGCATCAAGAGTGTCCCCAAGTTGAAATGTCCCTAAGTTGAGTCTTGTTTTCCTGTAGACTTACATTATATAATTTTTAATTGGTGCTTCATGAAAGAAATATTCTTCAGAATTCCCTGAAAAAAATTGTTTGCCACTTGAATTTGAATTAGTGAATACATTTTCAACTCAATAAGAACATTTGGAGCATTGAATAGTGTATCTCTGTACTGTAGACTGAAATTTTGGCATCTACAAAAATAACATTCAAGTGAAAAAATTTAGAAGTCCCTCTATGCTGGAGGTATATTTTTTTTAATTAGCTAAATGGATGGTAATTTGGTGAGAGAAATGCCCAAGAACTTTTCTTACATCAATTTCAGGGTTGGGAATATGTGTTTCTTGTCGTTTGGCCTGAAATTTATTTGCAATTTTATCACAAAATGTCTCTAAGTTGAGTCAGTGTCCTCATGTTGGGGCATTTTTGTTATTTTTTTCTGGGAAAATAAGTGTCCCTATGTCGAATTTGTCGAAGGTGTCCGCATGTGGGGGTCTCTCTGTATTTCATTACAGTAAGGCAATAATACCCTGATACTTATATTCACAGAGTGAGTTCTTCTTACTGCAGGAATTTAACCCTAGCAGGAATATTGCTGTGATATTGTTTAAATGCAAGAGGCGTTTGAAAGGTTGTAACTCTGAAAATCCTCCAGCATAGCACAAAGAGATAAAACTTGGAATCATCCATACTGTGGAAGTTTTTTTTTTTTCGAAATGGGCTGACGGAAAAATTTACTATACACCATTCCATGTTAGTTTGATTTTAGCCCCTTTCACAGGGTTTTTACTCTTCTTCCTGGCTGTATATAGCATTTAGCCATTTACCCTTCACTTAGCCCACCCAGGTTACATCCATGCAAGCGACTCGTCCGCTCAACTCCAACACCATGTCCCCTTCTTTGGTAGTGGACCTCAGGGTCCTGGAGGCGGCACTGGAGTCTGACTGGACCACAGTGAGGAAACTCCTTCCGGCTGCCCGGGATATGGACATGGCGGACCAGGTGTGATATTAAAAAAAAAAACAACCTCTGGGAATAACTGGAAATAAGAGGGTTGTCCTAGTTGGACGCGACCTATGATATATTATTTTTTTGTGGGTGGGTGCTTTTGTGGGGGAACATTTTTTTTTTGACAAAGCCTATGATGTTCTAAGGTTCTGGTATTTTTTTAAAGATTTTTAGAAATATTTTTCAATTTATTCCACGATGATGATTGACAACTTTTCAGATACAGCCAGAGTTCTTCACCCATATCACCATCAGATGGGTGCTATAAACTGCCAGGCTAGCTAAAAATGGAAATTTTTGTTTTAACTATATAGCTTTTCTGCACATTTTATATTATGATTAAAATAAAATGAAAAGTGCCTGCCTGATGATTTTTTTTCACCCATAGTGATGTGTGTGGTGAATAACTCTGGCTATGACTGGAAATTTTCACTTGGCATTATGCAGTATTATTGAAGAATGTTTTCAAAAATCTGAAAAAAAATCCCAGAACCTTTATTGGAATATCCTGGGCTATGTCATGATTTTTTTTAGAGTAGTCACACCTACTCAAATATTTCAAAGGTTGCATCTACTAAGTAAATTTTTGAGATCAAAAAGCCATTAATGTATTTTATTTATTGACCAGTGCATATACTGTATCACTTGGACAGTACCTCATAAACATACAATGACACATGTTCCATAACAATTTGAGAGCCCTGCTGGCAGACCACAGGTGGTATGCAGGTAGTACCCTATAATTCAACCCTAATCTGTTGCTGGACTAGAGGGTCAAATTTGGAGACATGTGTCAGATCAGTCAGATGGCACATTTTCTGCATGAAATTTGATGTTTTGTGCCTCTCTGCAGGCTGAATACCTCAGCAGAAGAGGTCAAATTGTGAGTTGACATCCCATTGAATTGCAGGATGGTCAAATTGCAAGGTAACACCTGTGATTCCCCATGATTACATTTTTGCACTGTGCAACCAAATAAGGTTTGCTGCTCTGTAAAAGTAGATCTGCACATCAAAGAGTTAATCATGATACAAAGAATGTTTCTCATTGAAATTGTGTGCATTGAAATATTTTGAAAACATTTGTGGTACTTATGAAGCAGAGACAGTAAAAAAATCTTTCCAGTACAACTTTTGTATGAATTTGATTCAATTCAACTCAGTCAAAGTAAAATAGAGAAACATTTTTCTGGCATACCATTTACAATTCTGTATTTGGAAAAAAACAAGCATTTTAAAATTCAGTTGAGGAATTCCAAGAAGTGTGCATTTTTTAGGCATCAAGTTTCCTTCACAAAAGGTTTTGCTTCTGTATTGATGAAGTTGGAATGCTGCACATTTTCATTCTTTTTCATTTTCCTAACATGCATCAAATAATTACTATGGCTCATGCACAGAATGAGGGACAAAAATTAATCACAGCCTAAAAATGAGTTTGTTCAAATGAGATTTTTATAGCATTGTACCTATATGTATGATGGGACACTTCCAAGACCAAGACACTTTTTCATGAAAAAGAAATTCTTTACAACACAATTTGTTGTTGGGGAATTCAACATTACATAGCTACATCATACAGTGCATAGCTGCATTCATACCTGAATGAACAGAAAGCTTTATTTTCTGTTTTTCAGCATTCACAAGGTTCAATCAACATTCCCACATCCAAACCCCTTCCTACCCAACCCAAATCCATTCAAATGCATTCAATCACTTCAGAATGGGAAACAGAGAAAAAAGCTGCATAAAGAAACCAAAATAAAAGAAAATACATCATAAAATAAAATACATCATAAAAGAAAAAACATCATAAAAGAAAAAACATCATAAAAGAAAAAACATCATAAAAGAAAATACATCTTAAAAGAAAATACATCTTAAAAGAAAATACATCATAAAAGAAAATACATCTTCAAAGAAAAATACATCATAAAATAAAATACATCATAAAAGAAAATGGTACTTTCCTGTTATCTCAGTACCTACTTTTCTGTTATCTCTGTACCTTCCCTATGACCAATTTAACCTGACCTAACCTAACTTCACCTAACCGCCTCCCAAAGTCAGTTTCTGCTTTCTTTGGGTTTCTGCTGAAACTGATTTTGGGAGGCGGTTAGGTAAAGTTAGGTTAGGTCAGGTTATGTTAGTTAAAAGATATTTGTAACTAACATAACCTGACCTAACCTAAATTTACCTAACTGCCTCCCACAATCAGTTTCAGCAGAATGCGGAAAAATAAAATTCAGTTTCTGGTAGGCCATTGCGATTTTGAACTTGTCCTAAAGATTTGTCTGGATGGTAGTGCAGTCTAGGAATGAGGTACTGAAATAACAGGAAAGTACCAAGAAAATACTGTACATCATAAAAGAAAATACATCATAAAAGAAAATACAACATAAAAGAAAATACATCATAAAAGAAAATACAACTTAAAAGAAAATAAATCATAAAATAATACTGTATAAGAATATTCATATATCCTCATGGTATAGGTATGAATTATACAGTATATGTGATGATGATAATGCAGCATATGTGTTCCTTCATCACAGGATGGCTGGTCAGTGCTGCATTTCGCCTGCCGGGAAGGGATAGACGACGTGGTCCGCTTGTGCCTCATGAAGGGCGCCGACGTGGACAGGGCCAAGAAGAACCTGTGGACCGGGTTGCACTTGGCGGCCCGGAACCAGAAACCCAGCACAGCGGAAGTGCTGCTGCGCGCGGGTGCCAACCCCAATGCCAGGAATGACCGAGGCAACACTCCCCTGGTGGAAGTTTTCAACAGGCGACGCAAGAAGGACTCCAACACCTTGTTGACGGTATATTTTGCTCTGCATAAAATGGAGCTAAAAATTGGACTTCACCCTATAAATAATTCCAATATATATATTAAATATATATATATACTGTATATACATATATTAAATAACTTAAATATATATATATATATATATATATATATATATATTAAATCATTTAAATATATAAATATATATTAAATAATTTAAATATATAAATATATATATATATTTATATTTATATATTTAAATTATTCAATAAATTATTTGATAAATTATTTAAATTTGTATAAATTATTTGCTTAATTATTTTATTTGTATAAATTATTTAAATTATTTATACATTTAAAACAAAAACAAAACAAAAACAAAACCAAAACAAACAAAAAATATACATATATATATATTTTTTTTTGTAACATGGGGCTCAATTTTCATGCAAAATGACCATGGAAGGGGTGAGTTTCATTTATTCACTTTTTTCTAAATCACAAGATTTTATGCCACAATAATTTCAAGAATTTTTTCTCAGGGACACAACTCTTCAAAATGAAAAAAAGAAAACCTGCCCCAAAATCTGGACAATGTCTCAAGATATGGACACTTCTTCAAAAATATACAGGAAAGCATAAGAGTATAGGTGCACTCTCTCTCTCTATCTCTATGTCTACAATGATTTTGTCTGCAATTCATTTTTTCTGGTCCCTTGAATTTTTTTACTGAGAGTCCACCTGTTCTACTTGAAAAATGTAAAACTCTTGCAATGAAGTCAAGCTACAGGTAACTCAAACAAAGGCTCCTCAAGTCAAATAGCCCCCTAAGTCAAATTTTTTTTGGGTCCCTGTCTAAATCCCTTCAGAAAAAATATATTAAAAACCTCCATATAAGTCAAATTTTTTGTGGCCAGGTGGCTTATCATTTTCTTGACTTCAGAAAGAAAAGAAGCAATAAAAACAGAAACTGATGTGTTTTGAAAGGAAATGAAAGACTTGATTGGGCAAATGAACCCCTGCCTCCAAGTTCAGCAGTTTTTCAACTTACGTAAAGAAACAATTTAAACCCCCAGAATATCACCTTTTTCAATTATTCTGTGTTTCCTGGAACAAAAGGGCTTTGCATTGTATAGCTCATACCTCTGTACAGTAATTCAAAATCTCCCCAAATTGATTTTCTTGTTTTGCTGGTCCCTTGAAATTTGACTTAAAGAGGTTCAACTGCAATTCCATTTACAGTGTCAAAATAAATTCCATGAATTTGCTCCATATTTATTTCACAATTGGAGGCCAATTTTTTTGCTCACTGCACAGGTTTTACCATCAGCTGCATTGCAATGTGTGGGATTGATCATTAACTTTTTTTCATGCCTGAAGGCCAGACTATTTGTGGCTTCTCTTTGCAGTTTTCTACGTTTTAAAGAAGTGGAATCATTCATCTACTTATTTTTGGTAGGTTTATTCAACTGTTTGTTCAAACACAAGAGGTGATGATAAAAATATTGTATTGCCATTCCAGCTAAATTGGGAAGTATTCAAGTGTATGCTCCAACATGCATACATTACTGGAAGAGCCAACATCAGTGGTAAATTAACTTAATATTCTATCGTAAAAATTGTGTCCATCTCATTCCATGACCAAGGGTACCATAAGATTGTCTAAAATTGAAAACAGGCATACCTTTGAGTAAATGTGCTTGCTGTTTTTCAGTTACTGAATTTGCTTGTGCAAGGAGGAGCAGAGGTGAACATGTGTGGAGAGGATGGGAAGACCAGTTTGCACAAAGCTGCAGAAAGGGGCTATGATGAAGCAGTGCTGTTCTTACTCAGAAATGGAGCTGATACAGGCATCAAAGATGCACATGGAAACACACCTATAGTGTTGGCCATTGCTGCCAAAAATCAGGCTTGCATTCAAATTCTTGTGAGTGCTAAGCACCAAGTCCATGCATCATGGCACATAAGTCAATTTTTTGTATCATTCCAAATATGTCAGTCTAATTAAGATCCAAGCATATATTTCTCAGAATTACTATAAAAACATAAATCACTCAAGCAGTTTCAACAATGAAGCTCTTTCTTTCTCAAGCTATGCCAATTGTTGGTTTTATTGTAAGTTACACTGTGTATAATAAATTATTGATGCATGGGTCAGCTGAAGACAGTTTCATCAGATTTAGAAATGCCAAAGTGACAAAATATTGCATCTAGGAATGCTGAATTTGAAGTATCCTAAATGGTTAGCAGAGAAAACTTTATTGTTAATGCATGAATAACAGTGCAGGCATTTGGCATGTTGAGAAAACCCATGTATAAAAAGATTTTTTCCAAAACTGTGTCAAGTAATGATTCTATAGAGCACTGCAATCAAAATCCATTCAAATATTCTTTGACTATTTCAGAGCTTGCTGGTTCTGGCTCTGATGAATGGTCCCTTCAAATATTAATTTGTACTCTTAGTTCATAGGATGATAATCATTTTGAACTTATCATTTTCCAAAACATTAGGAAAAAGCAGAGAGCAACAAGCTACAACTGTCTTCCCAGGAGCAGAGTGCTGTTCAGCAAAGGCAAGAAAACATGCTTCCATACCAATCTCAAGGTCAACAGCTCCAAGTTGGTGCTCTACCCATTTCTGACAGGGTTGAGAGCTTGGGCCAAAGCTTGATGCAAAACAATAACTCAATGCAGCAATCCATCTTCTCACCAGTCAAGCAAAAACTTGATGGCTCTGATGCTGCAGTGTATGGTAAGCAAAAATTGCTTTATTTATTTTGGATATACACCAACTCTAGACCCTTCTCCTTATAAAGGTCAAGTGTTTAAAAATTACACATATCCTTCAAGTGACTAACATTGATGTCTAAAATAATGTAACACTTTAAATCATGCTCAATCCAAACAAATTTCATTTTTCTCAAATCAACCTGATTAAGCCTTGCCATGTATATTTGTTGAGTGTTCAAAATCTGAGAGTAGCTAAAGTATAAGTATAAATATTAAATAACAGTAAATATGTATTCATATCATCTTATGAGCCCTATGCATTCTTGTCAGTATGAACTTTGTAGGTTCAACAGTTGAAGCTGTCACCTGAGCAAATATTGGCAAGCAGTTATTTCCAGAACTAAGAGAAGAAAATTTTGGAATATGTGCTTAAATCAACATTTTTGTAGATTTTTTTTTTAAACTCAGCAGCATTTTTTCTACACTTTTCAAGGGTAAATCTCATAAGTCATTACCATACCAGCCCTTTTCTGACCCAAACTATGTGGTAAAATATCAATGAGAAAAATCAAAATTAATCTACCTAAATGATATAGAAAGTTTAAAAAAATTTGTGATGGAAAACTGCTGGAAATCTTTCCTAAAACTCTTGACCAGGTGAAGTGCTTTTCCCAAACTTGGTCCTGTTTGGTTTGAAGATGGTTGGTACTCAAGTGAATACAGCAATATTACCATAATACTCAGTAGAACTGCTGCTTGAAGTGAACATTATCCCTATGCTAACAATGTTTCTTTTTATTCACATGTAAGCAGCATTTCCAGATTACAGGTGGTAATCTTGCAGTCTGACCTCCTGCAATTCAATCATCCCACAATTTGGAGGTCAAATTTCTAGGGAGGTTGATTTGCAATTTGACCCTTGCAATTTAAACCTTTTTTCCATTTTTCACGTTTTTGTACTCATATTTTGAATTTGATGTAGTGTCTTGCAGTTCAACCAATTTGCAATTTGACCCTAGTTTGGCAACAGATTGTAGTTAAATTGCAAGGTACCACCTGTACCAGCAAAAACAGATATATGGCAGATAAGTTGAAGTGTAAAACCAAAAATCTAAAAATTAGAAATGCAGTATTCAAGTTCAACCAACATTTTAAAACTTAACATCCTTATAGATGTAGTTTACAAAAAATCATACCTGCATATATGCTGCCAACATATTTTGAAACATATTGACCTCTTAAAATAAATTTTATTCCCTATATATGCAGCAATTCCAGCGAAGGAAAGGACCACCATTACACCACTCCAACAACAACAACAGCAGCAGCAACAGCCACAACAACAACAGCAACAACAACAACATAACCCGCACCAACAGCATCCTCTGCAAGACAAAGTGGCTGCTACACCGTCACTAGCTGACGCAGTAGCTGCCGCTCTGTCAAATCCATCCGCCTCCTCGGACGCCCGCTACCTTCAACTCGAGATCCGCCACCAGAAGTCGCTGCTGACCTTCGAGAAACTCGAGCTCACCGTTGCCCGACTCCGCTCTCAGATGTCGCAACTCGAGTCCCGCATCGCTGCTGCGGAATCTGACGGTCGACGCTACGCGAATGTCGAGGCTAGACTAGAAGCCCTGGAACGTCGGATTGCAGCCGCCATGCCGGACTTGGTGGTGGACTTCAGTGCGCGGCCATCTTTGCTGAGTGCTAGACCCCAACAGCAGCAGCAGCAGCAGTTGCCAAGGCGGCGCAGACAGAGTGAGGATTCATCTGGCAGTGGGAGCCATCACCAACAACAACAACAACAACAACAGCAGCAACAGCAAAGGATGCAGCAACAGCAGGGCAGACAGCAGCAGCAGCAGCAGCAGCAGCATACTGGGCATCAGTTTAGGACAGGGTTTCAGGATCAGTTGGCTGCAGCAGTGTTGCCATTGCAGCATCAACAGCAGTTTAATATGCAGCAGCAAATGCTGGATGCTGCAAGGTCTCAGGTTGCCCCAGAGGTGTATCATTATGCTTACTCTCAGTAACATAAAGAGATATGGCTGCCATTGGTCTCTATTGTGCCCTGTTTCTTGAGAAATAGATTGGAGGTTACTTTGAAAATGTATGTGGTATTGGAGTACTAATCTCTAATAGGCTCTAATAGAGTACTAATCTCTAATAAAGGGAGATTAGTAATGCACTAATCTCCCTTCAAACTGTAGTCTGGGTAATCAGTGGGTCCCACTGCATATTAAATCTAGAATCTATATATAGAGCAACAAAATGTGTATCAACTCAAAGTGAGCTTGCTCAGGGTAGATTTGAAGTTTTAATTGTGCAAAACTTGCACTTGTTTTGCAAAGGGATGTAAATTGAAGCCTTTTTTCTGGGTTCAAATTTTTTAATATTTTGGGATCAGATTAATATCTTATATTGAATGCATCTGAAAATTTGTATAAAATCATACATGGACATTTTTTTTTGTGAAGTAGTGAGAAATTGCACCCAAATTGGAATACTGTGCCTCAAAAACTGAAGATGGAGAAAAGTTGAATCTGCTCCAATTCCAAATGATGCTGGATATATATTTGTATTTTCCTATCACAGTTATAGGGTCTTTTTTTTAATTCTGAGGCAGGATAAAACAAATAATGTGGGATATTTATCCATTATAGAAAATTATTTTCTTCTGAGGTAGAGAGTAAAATGAGTTTTAAAATTACTAATTTGAAGAAGACTGAACTGCCTTTCAGGTTAAAATTAGCTTTAGCATTTAAATTATTTGTTGAAGAAATTTTTTGTTATTCTTTCAAAAATTACCACCAGTATTACCATCAGACACTTACCTCAACTGAATATGGATGGAAATTATGAGATTTGGAATTTTGAAGTGAAATGTTCTAGGATTCAAGTCAACATAACATTTTTTTTCTCAATCTTTTTGAGGTGCAGGAGTTATTGCACCAAGTCTGGTTCAAATTTTTTGGTCAACCACTATTCCAGTAACTTTGCCAGCGTTACCAACAAATTCGATTTCCCCCCGCATTTTGCTGTCGGATTTGCTGAACTTTCAAGTAAAATTCAAGTTTTTCAATACTTCAGCATGTTTTTGTCTGCTTCTTTTGAATCCCCTATTTTCAGTTCATCTTTTTCCGATGTTTTAAATTTTTATTTATGAGCTTTTATCAAATTTTTATTCAATTTTTAGGTTTATTTTCAAGATTCTTCAGTTTTTATATTTCTTAAATTTTGGAATGAAGTACAGTATTGCACCGAATTTAATGTTTTAAATTTCGTCCATATATTTCTTGGCCAAACAGTAGCTTACCAGTGTTACCAACAGATGCGACGCTCAGCCGCGTTTTGACTCCTAATTTGTTGGATTTTAAGCAAAGTTATTTTAAATTTTTTAATTAGTTGATGTTTTCTGCTTTTAAATTATTTCCTTTTCAGTCTTTTATCTTTCGTCGTCTTTTACTTTCTATTTTTTCAACCTATCTTTCTCAACTTTTATTCATTTTTTTAGTTGCCCTTTTTCTTTTCAATGTTTTTTATTTTATTTTCAAGTTTTTTCGTTTCACCATTTTTCTAGTTTTGAAATGTGGAATACTGGATTCAAAGTCTTTAAAACGCGGCCTGTAATAATTGTTTGCCAAGCAGTCATTGTGACTCGCCAGTGTTACCAAAAGCAGATGCGACCCCCACCAAAATCAATGATGAAAAATCTTTTTTTTTTACTTGAAATATAAATATAACTTCGATAAAAATTTACAAAGAAACAAGTAAAAATTCGAAAAAGAAACTGAAAACGGGCGATACTCAAGAAAAGCAGAAAAAAGCATGAACTATATGCAGTGGATAAACTTGAATTTTACTCGAAAGTTCGACAAAATTCGACAGTAGCGAAATGCGGCTGTTGGTCTGTTGGTAACGCTGACAAAGTTACTGGAATATAGAAACGTAAATGGTTATAATCGAAAACTGTGAACCGTACTTGGTGCAATATCTCCTGCGCATTTCAAAAACATTAATTTAAAAATGATATTTAAAAAAAAAACTGAATGCATATACTGTATATATAGACAAATTAGATACAAAAGCCATTTCATTTATTAGCTTTTACGGAGCGTCGTCGTCGCTATTATTATACTCAAGTCACTCCTTGGCGAATAAGTTTCCCTTCACGAGGACGGGTCACTAACCTTTTGCTCCCACCCCAGTGTCCCTTTTATTTTTCATATAGTCCTCATGAGCTGCTTATCCGTTATACTGTACTATATATATACTGTATATGTACAGTATATAAAATGCTCCGACGTTCCATTCTGGGCCGTACACGACACTGCTGTCGGGCTTTCCTGTCACTCAGTTTCATTGTGGACCTGGCTGGAGATGGTGGACAGTATATTAGTGCCCTATACTGATTTCTGTGACTGCTGTTGTGAGATACTGTACTGTATATACTGATGTGAATGACACACTTTTTTTTTTTTACTGTAAGAAGAATACAGCAGTGAGAATCCCAGGTGTGGACATAATTGGTACATCAAGAGTGTCCCAAGTTGAGTCTTGTTTTCCCATAGACTTAAATTATATAATTTTTAATTGGTGTTTCAAAATATTTATCAAAGTTATTTTAAAAATGAGAGAACAATTCTGCAGATTGATAATGATTCAATCAGTGTTTTTTCAACTCATGAATAACATGTGGAGCATCGGGGACATAAAACAGTAACTCAATGGACATATTCACTCAGAAGTAGCACAATTTCTTTGCTATACTGATGAATGTTGAGATCCATTAATTCAGCAACTGTCCTCTTCTCTTCCTTTTTTCTCCAGCTGTGGCATCTTCATGCTTTTTTTCAACATTCAGAAAATTCCTGATTGTTTCAGATGTTTTTGATTTTGCATTAGGGTAATTTTAAAATGATATTGATTTTTAGCATTTGTTATAGTGGATAGCTCAATTTCATGAATAAATACAAAAAGGCAGGAAATTAAAATGCTTAAATTCATTAGGAAAAAAATGCTGGAAAGTAAAATTATTAAATTATTAAAGAAATACAAAAATGCTGGAAATTAAAATGCTTAAATTCTTCAAGAATTCTAGGAAAAGTGTCTGCTGTATCTTGAGTCAATGTCTACATGTTGGTGGTTGCATTTTTAAAATTTTAAGTGTCTTTAAGTTGAATTGTTCATATGTTTGGGTGCCCAAATTTCAGGGTCTAGCTATTTTTGATAACCCTTGAATACAAATATTGGTTTAATTATATACAGTTTGACTCTATTGACAATCAAATTTTCTCAACAGTTATTTTTTGTGGTCCACTGAACATTGATGCAGGGAATCCCTGTTTAATGGGTCAAGAACCCCTAAGGAGCACCACACATTTTGTTATTCAAAGAAGAATTCTTGGGCACCAAATTGTTGCAGAGGGAGTATGTCTTCATATTGACCAAAATTGAAACTAATTTCTGACATAAAATTACAGTACTGTGGGGTCGCGTTCACGCGGCAACCCGAGCGTAGCATCCTCGCTCGGGTATACCGCGCAGCAACTCCTACACGCCAACCCGGAAGCGGATAGGGCACCCGGTTTACCGCATTGCGGTAAACCGGGTCAAGAACAAAGAGAACCATTTCCGGCAGCGATCGCCGGCTCCCGAAGCCTGCGGGGCTTCGGGAGGAAGAATTATTACATCTCGAGAGCTGGAACCGAGCACTGGTGAATCTGCCTGTGTGTGGAATTATTCTCTGCGTCCTAGCGCGATTACGAGTACCTCTGGGTACTTTGTGTCCTTCTGTGGTTGTGTGTTTGGATAAAGCTGCTTACTCTAAAGGGACTCTGTTAAAGAGGATCCGGCCGTTAAAGGCTGAGTGACTGCGTTTTATTCTCTCCTCTAATTTGTCATTAATCGGCCTGACAAAAGTGGTGGCCAGTGGGTTTGCCTCTAAAAGGTCGAACCCCGGTTTTTCCAAAAAGTCTTGGGCAAAGTTCCCTTCGGTACTGAAGTGCGAAATTTATACGTATGAACCTGCAGCCCTGCTGCTCATACGTTNCTCCTGCTGCGTTCACGCAGCCCGAAATCGCCGCCCTCACGCGATTGGCAACCGAGGTGAACACCCTTCTGGTGCAATCCATGGACGTCATGACCGGGGGGTGGCCGCGCTTACGCCCGACACAGCCCCGTGTTTTAGGGGTTGCGTTCCCCGCGGCACCGCAGGCACCCGCGCCTCCAACGCCGTCGGTGGCGCGCGCCGCACCTCAGCCCTCCCCCAGGGGGGCGCCGATTCCTGTACTACCGCCGCACATGCCCAGCACGTCGCGCGGCACAGGATCGGCAGCTTTGCATCCCGCGATGGGACAGCTCGTCCCTTTGCGCCCCATGGCGCCCGCACTACTACATCCACCGGCTCCGGCCAGCTACGGCAACTCGGAGTCCGGGCCTTCTTCAATCCTGCAGCCGCAGGGAAGACCTTACGAGGCGTATCATCACGCTCTCACCATATATGGGACGGGGCAACCGACCAGCCTCTCCCATCATGACCTAGTTAAAACGTACGAGAAGCAGGCTCGCGACGCCTCCTTCAACAAATTTACTGGCCAAGCGGACTCCAATTATCCGTTTGAGCGCCTTTGGCGCGACTTTCTGCCAGTCCACATCATTCCTGCCGCGCAACTCACGGACGGACTCCAATTATCCGTTTGAGCGCCTTTGGCGCGACTTTCTGCCAGTCCATATCATTCCTGCCGCGCAACTCACGGACATCGAACGAATCCGCGTGTTGCTCCTTCACCTTGATGGTGACGCAAAGGAAAACGTCGGCGCATTCGCGTACCAAGACGTTAATATGGATTACCTCAGCGTTCTCCAGGTGCTCTTCTCCGAATATGGGCAGACGGACGCGGTACGCCTGAAACTCTACCGCGAATTCGATCGCCTTCCGGCACCCAACACTCTCCCTGAATTTTACGACTATTTTAACAGAGTCGTCCAAATAACTGAAAAACTGAGCACAATTCAGACCGACATGAATTTCGTGCACCTCCGCGTGGGCCCGGTCCTACGCGCGCATCTCGAACGCGGCAATTACCTAGAAGTCCTCCAGGCGTACACCGACCGCCACGCTCAGATGCCTGAGTTGGACCCAGTCTGGGCCACGCGCCCTCATCGGCAATACCGATTCATCCGGTCCTACTTTGCGCACAAACTCCGCATGGCGGAGGCGCCACCAGTTCTAGCATTCCAGGGCGCAGCGGCCCCGGCTGACGGCGCAGCGGCTTCCGCAGCACCTGCCGCAGCCCCGGCCGCGGCCCCACCTGCCGCAGCAGCCGCAGCACCAGCGGCTGCGGCCAACGTCAATCTGGCAAATGCCGCCCCGTCGACTTCCAATGGCAATCGACGGCAGCAACAAAACAGGGGCAACAACAATAATCAGCGACGATCGTTTCGGCGAGGGCAATCGCGTTCCGGCAGCCCCCCACGCAAGTGGCGGCGGCGCGGACGCTCCTCTGACCGCCCACGAAGTCGCTCCCCGAACCGACGGAATGATAATCGCGGACAACCGCGCCGCAATGAAAATAACTCCCGTTGCGACCGGGACAACAATTACCGAGACAATCGCTGGGACCAGCAGGATCGAGGGACGTGTCCCTTCTGCGCCGGTAACCACACGGCGATCAGGTGCCACCTTNCCTTCTGCGCCGGTAACCACACGGCGATCAGGTGCCACCTTTCGGTTCGGGACAAACTGCATGCAGTCCGCCAGCGGCGGCTCTGCAGCAACTGTCTCTCCCGAGACCACTACGGCAACAATTGCACCTTGCCCAACAGATGCCGGCACTGCCAGCAGCCGCATCATACGACTACGTGCAACCGCAACCGCCCGAGGAATCAGCAGCCCGCACAACAGGCAGGGCCCGCGGCCGTAGCCGCCCCGGCGGTCCAACAAGCGGCGCCCGCAGCTCCGGTCGCGCCACCAGCACAGGCAGCGCCTGCCGCACCTGCACCCGCCGCGGCCGCCCCTATTGTACAACAGCAACGCGCCGCACCAGCCGGCTGACAACCACCGGCGGCCGAACGCCGCGTCGTCCTGGTCGTCTCCGCTCCGCCACCCGGGCCCACGTGCGCCTTCCTAGAAACGGCCGCAATCCGCCTGGAGCCTGAAGGGCATACGGCGTATGCTCTCCTCGACTCGGGGGCCCAGCTCACACTAATTTCCCGGGCCCTCGTCCAACGGCTTAACTTGGTCACCGAA